GCTGGGATTACAGGCGTGCACCACCATGCCCGGCTTAGGACTTTCACTCCTGATGAGGACTTCTGTGTGAACTGAAAAGGCTTGTTATGTTTTGGTTACATCATTTAGTGCTACCAGTAATAGTAGAAACTTACTACAGTAGAAACTTACTCAAAGTAAGCACCACATACTTACTTGTTAAATAAATGAATGCGTATGTGGCTAAGCGTACAAGGGTTTTCATTTTACTAATATTTTATAAGACCTAATTTAAACAAATCAGTAATACAATAAAAAATTCACAGATATCCAGGACTTGAGAGGCTGATGCAGGAGAAACATGAGTTCAAGGACACCTTGGACTACTCAGTGAGTTCAAGACTGGCCTATAATGTATAGTAAGACCTTGTCCCAAAAATACTGCCTGCCTAAGAAGAAGGCTGTGAGTAGAAGCCAGGTATGGTGGCCCAAGCCTGTAGTCCCAGGTATTCAGGAGGCTAAGAAAACAGGATCACAAGCCTGGGCAACTTGGCAAAAGCCCTGTCTCAAAGTAAGCTTAAAAAAGGGCCAGGGATGTAGCTTAGTGATAGAGTGCTTGCTAGAACGCATGAAGCCCTGGGTTCAGTCCTCAGTACCGGAGAGCAGATAATCAGACCTTAAGTCCTCTCATGGCTTGCTTAGGGCCAGAGGGCTTATTTCAGTGGTGGCAAACCTTTTAGAGACTGAGTGCCCAAAATCTAAAACCCACTTATTTATCACAAAGTACCAGTACTTTTAGTTTAGGAAAACCAATGTGGCCATTTTGGTAAAATCCTTATCAAGAGGGTCTTATGCACCAATTTGAAAGCTGGCAGCTCTAGGATGATTTGTTTTAGAAAGGTAGTTGGAAAAACTAAGATACTAGAAATGATATTTCCTCAATATCCCTTCACAAAACTCCCCTTTCAGTGTCACCAAGTTTGGCACCACTTTTGTGGTTGATGTCAGAGTGCCGTGTGACAATGTGGGACACAACACTTTCACTACACAAGATCTATAACTAAAACAAAAAAAAAGAAGAGGGGCTGGGGATTTAGCTCAGCGGCACAGCACCTGCCTGGCAAGTGCAAGGTTGTGAGTTTGATTCCCGCTACCAGGAAAAAAACAAAAACAACAAACCAAAAAAAGATATATAACTGTTCCCATTGTGTTCAGTTACACCAAATGACTGTCCAGGTCTCTGGGAATGATCTGTCACTATGTTTCCAGTTTTGCTATTTTTTGCTTGTCATTTTTTGGTGTTCAAGACTTGGGAGTCCACAAAAACACAAAATTTAAAAAAAATTGAAGTGCCAAACACAAATCTATCCCTATAGCAAAATAGCTAACACTATTAACACTAAAGAATTGGATTTTCCTGAATCAACAGTTTCTGGCAGTGATCCTCAGGAGGTTTCCTCTTGAATTTGCTGTCCACTGGTGCATTGCCCAAGGGGGCAGTGGTCTACTGATCACCACCTTTCGGCCTGTGCTGAAAGAAGCATCCAAGTGTATTTCCTACCTTGTGAGGATTTCTGCTAAAACCACAGTTGGGCCAAACAAATACATATACACATACATACATAGCCTTGGAAGTGCACTGATGGGCCGTGTGAAAGGTCAGACAGTTACTGAGTTGCTGCTATTTCTCTCTGAGCATCCACGTGGTCCCTTTTGTGTGCTGTTACCCAATGCTCGGTTTCCGGGGAGGTGCTGGGGTGACTTTGCTCCAAGCCGACAGAGGGCCCTGTGTGCCTGTTTGTGGCATGCGTGCCATAGGCTGGCCGCCACTGGTGTTTCCTAGGTAGCTTAGTGACATGGTCATTGGTAGGATCTCATTGTTTCTTGCTTTCTGTACATGGCATTTGGCTTCCTCCAAGTGCTACTGACCTGGTCACTTCAACTTTATTCTTTTGATAGAAGTGAGAAACTTAAGTCCATCCTGCACTTAAGGGGGAGGAGAGGAGGAACTTAGCATTATTTGTTGAAGGGAGAAATATTAAAAAATCCGTGGATGAGAAAAATCTGCAAATATTGAGTTCATGATAGCAGATGAACGGGTCTGCTACTTTCCTGGGGGGTGCTGGGCTCAAACACTGGGGTCAGAGTGCTTGGGTTCAGATTCTGACCTGGCTCTTCTGTAACTCTATGATCTTACACAAGGAACCTCAAATCTTCGCATAAAATGAGCATAACAGCAATATCTGTTTCAGGCAAGTGGCAAGGAAGGAGTAAAAAAATGAGGATAAAGATTTAGCATAGAGACTGTTATTTACCCCTCAAGACATATCAGTAACTTTGATATACAGAATATTTTCTATAATATGTCTACCATTACAGCTTCAAAGTCTGCTTATAATTACTTACTTTAAAAAATTTATTATTATTTTTTGAGACAAAGTCTTGCCATGTAGTTTAGGCTAGCCTTGAACTCATTCTGCAGACCAGGCTGGCCTCACAGTCACAGCAATCCTTCTGTCTCAGCCTCATCAGTGTTGGGATGACAGGGAGGTGCCACCACTTACTCAGTCTTGAAGTCCTGACAAAAATGCAGATTGGTGCATGTGTACATACACATATATCATATATACTGTATATATGTATAACACAAAGGTATATATACTGTATGTATATGTATAACAAACATATATCATATATACTGTATATATATGTATACCATATACTGTATATATATGTATAACATACATGTGTATCATATATACTATATGGGTTGAGTCTTACTGTATAGACAAATGTATACATATTTAAATCCTGCTGCATTTATATTTTTAGTACTTATTCATGTTGTTAAAAATAGTGGGGACTGTAGCACACTTGCTTAGCATGTGTGAGGAGGCCCTGGTTTAGCCATCAGCACCACTGTGTTACCCAGGCTAGTCATGAATTTCAGGGCTCAGCTCAAGCAGTGCTTCTTCCTTGGCCTCCCCGGTAGCTGGGAGTACTGGTGCATGCCACAGCAGCTCCTGTTTGGTTTTGGTTTTTTAATAGAAGGACCCACTGAATATCCTCCCTATTTCTTCAGGCTAGGCCTCAGAAGTGAAATTCCTGTGTCAGAAAAGTACAAACTTCTTTTAGCATCTTGATAACATTTGTTTTCCTGGAAATTTGTACAAAAATACATTCTAATAGCAGCTTACCCCTTCTTGTATTCCCAGGATAGTAATGTTGATCTCTTAAAAGTATTAGTGGCTTTTGAAAGCAAGCAAGAACTGCATTAAATACCGGGGGATATAAGATGAATGTGGAAAGATATGTGTGTATACAGATGTACAGAATGTAACACACACACACACACACACACACACACACACTCAAAATGCACTTCCTAAGATCTATCTTAAACAGATACTATGGTAAAAGTTTGCATCAGGCTTCACACTCATTCTTCCCACACAGAAGGTGATTTTTTTCTTCTTGAGCGGCACTGATTTACCACTTCTACAAAAATCAACCTTTGGCTTATATTGCTGTTTTCCCTTTTATATAGAATATATGAAAAACTGGTAAGAATGGAAATTCAGATAGGTTATCAATTTCAATAACATGCCTAAAGCCAACACTTACCCTTACTGTTCCTTATCCTCCATGTGGAAACTGTTAAAGATGCTGCTTAAACTGGGCCAGCACTCGGGAGGCTGAGCCAGGTGGATCCATGTGAGTTCAAGGCCAGCCTAGGCTACATAGTGAGTTCCAGGCCAGTCTGAACTATGTAATGAAGTCCTGTCAGTGGATCATCTTTACTTTAAATTGATTAGCAATAAAAAGTAAAAGCTTCCAGTTTTTAGTTCTGCTTATCCCATACATGGTAGGTTTACTCAGTCCAAGAGAGCGATCTGGGCAGTGGTAGAAGGGTGCGGGGAAAGGACCAAGAGAATAGATGAATATTAGGGGAAATGAAAAAAATAGTTACGAGTTTTACAACTCCATTTTGAGCTGTTCTGACTTTGGTCAACTTTTATAAAATGATACTATATTTATTTATATTACCACTGAAAGCATTTTTCTCTAGATTATAAGAACAGTTAATTCAGATCATAAAATTTATGTCAATTTGCTAAATGCGTATCTGCCAAATCTGTGTTTATTTAGCAAATACTGAACACATTTTTGTGGGAAGCATTGTTTAATGTAAATGTGACAAAGAACTTTAGGATAGCATTTTGTTTCAATTTTTTTTAAATTAAGAAATGCTAATCAGGTGTGATGGTGCATGCTTGTAATACCAGCACGCTGGGAAGCTGAGACAAGGGGATTACAAATTTGAGCCCAAGCTGGGCAATTTAGCAATTTATCGGGACCCTGTCTCAAAATAACACATGGAAAAAGGGTTGTGGGTGTAGCTCAGTGCAAAGGCCTTGAGTTCAATCCTCAAGGAAAAAGGGAGGCACGCTAGCGATGTAGCTCAATGGTAGAGGGCTTGCCCAGCATCTGAGGCCCTGGTTCAGTCCCCAGTACAATTTTTTTAAAAAGGCATTCTCTTGTTTTAATGAGGTCTCCATTGTCATATCACTGGCTTGATTTCCTGTTTGCAATAAATTTATAGTCGCAACTGGCAATGTACCTCTTCAGTTGTATTTTAATAGGTAGTATATTTGCTATAAGGTTAGTTCCTAGCAAAAAGATTTCTTTGGAAGTAGGTGACATAAAATGAATAGATTCATTTTCCAAATGCACTGAATAGAAGTGAAATGTACATGAATTTCATGATTAGCAAACAGGGCTTTAATCTAATCTCTTCGGGACTGGTGAGTTCTGAGGTTTACCAAATACTGTATACCTGTTTAGTGTGCTTACTACTTCTGTAAGAACGGACGCGGTCGGTCTCGCAAAGCGTTGGAATCTCCTTACTTTCCAAGTAATTCTCTAGGTACGACTTTTTGCTTTCCTATTTTAAAGTGCTGTTCTTCCAGGTAAATTGATTACGTGTTGCATAAGCTCTGAAAAGGCCAAAACAAGTTAGAAAGCCACCTTTATTTGCAGCGGCGAGAACAGGTATTAGATCGCTTCTGGGGAGGAAATGTGATTAATGGCCTTTTTCCAGAGGGGGACAGTCGCAGACCTCGCTTCCGCAGAGCGTGAATCGCGCCCCTTCCTGCCGAGGCGGTCCCGGCGGCCGGCCTCCCCAGCCTCAGGTGTCCGTGCGGCCGCGCTCGGCGCACGGCGCCGGGACTTCCTGTCTGGGCGCGGGGCGGAAGGATCGCGCCGCCAGCCGGGCCGCCGCCGCCCCTGCCGTTAGGTGGTGGGGTTTCTCAGCCCGGCGGCGGGAGGCGGGCCGGCCGCGGCTTCCTGTCGGAGGACGCGCAAGGATCCGGGCGTCGGAGTGTGTGCGAGTGCGTGAGTGTGTGTCGCCGCACGGCGCGTGTCCCCGGCCGCGGGTTCCGCCTCCGCCCCCGCCGCCGCTGCTCACGGTGGAAGTCAATGTGAAGCAGCAGCAGCTCCAGCCCCGGGATAAACATGGCGACGTCTCTGCATGAGGGACCCACGAACCAGCTGGATCTGCTCATCCGGGCCGGTAAGGACAGGGCAACTTTTCTCCCGTGCATCGGCGCAGCGGGAGAGGGGGTGCACCGAAGGCGGGGTGCCTCCCCCGAGCGGTCAGTGCAGGGGTGCGTGTCCACCTCAGGCACCGGGCGGCCGGGAGAGGGGGGAGTGAATGAAGTAATGGAGGCGACGAATCAGGAAGTGATCACCTTGGAGAGTAACCTGCCTCGGATCCGGCGCTGTCGCTTCAGGGTGGGCTCGCGGGGCGCGGCGCGGCCGCCGGGCGGAGCGCTGGCAGCGGCTGCCGGGCGCAGAGCCGCGGTTAAGTTGGGGACTCGGGACGGACGAGTTGCGCGCTTCACCCCAGTTGCCGAGGAACCAGGAAGTGACCGGGGCTGTTGTCTCTCGGCGGCGCCTGCCACGCTGTCTGGCCGGAGAGGCCGCTTCTGGCCGCGGCCGCGGGCGGCGGGCTCCTCCGGGGACTCGCGGCGCCCACCGGCCCGCGACTTCCGCATGGACGAGGCGGCCCCGGGCGATGTCCGGCGGCCCATACCCGCCAAAACCCGCGCGGACCCTCCCTCCCCGGCCCCGCCGCACGCCGCCTCCGGAGTAACGGTCCCGGGAAGGGTCACTCGGGAGTGCCGAGCGCCCGGCACGGCGCCTCTCCCGGCCCGCCTCCCTCGCGCAGAACGGGGCTGTGGAAAACTAGATTTATGCCCCTTCCCTCGTGGGTGTTGTTCAAGGGGGAGAATGCGAAGGACACCGAGTGTATTTCGTACCCCTGACCTGGAGCGTGGGGCGCAGAGAAAAGCAAGTGTTTTTTGTAAACAGTGGGTGAATGTGAAGGAGTGGGGCGGGCGGGAGGGCGTCTCGGCCCCAGGGAAGTCTCAGCACGGAATTGCCCCCTTTCCCCTCCCCCAAACCTCCCACCACAGCGGAAGCGCCTAGGAGAGGACAGAACGCGCGGGATTGACAGGCGCGCGGTTCCAATCTGCTCTCGGAGATGTTCCAAATAAGAACGTTGATTTCTGGGGGCGGGACCATGGGCCCGCGCTGGGCCAATGAAGATTGGGCGGGAGTGAAGCTGACATTGTACGCATGGAATTGGAGGGAAGAGGAGTGTAAACACGGAAGTGGCCGCAGGGGTGGGGGATGTGCAGCGCCACTGCTGCAGCGGAAGGGCACGGACTTAAGTTACATAGAAAAAGCAGCTTTACTAATAGCAGACAGCGCAGTGAGGGCCCTGGATCCTTGGAACACTGCTTGAATCCTGTTCGCTGACTGTAATAAATACACGTATTCCGTTCTCCGGGTTTCCTTTCATGTCGCATTGATGGGAATTGGAAAATAAGAATTAGTTACCTGACAGTAATGCTGTAGATGTTCCGCTCTTTCCCATCCGTTGTTTTTAGGTGGGGGTCTTGAAGTTAGTTTAGTTGGCGAGACTGATTCAGTTCGACTAGGGCAAAATCATGAACACATGTTTTGTATCTCTAAATTTAACAGAAGAACTTTTAAGTTTAAGTAAAATCTGGATATAACCATATGTATTGTATAACATATGGCGAGCAGCCTTTTATTCTATGTAGTGTAATATTACATGTTTCAAATGTCCCAAAGAAAAAGCAGCATACTGAGAAATTAAAACACATTTTTTGACAGTTGTTTTAGTGAATGAAAGGCAGAAACAGTGATAGTTTGGTTCTTTTGTGTATATTCAGTGCATTAATTGATATGAATTAGTGTAAAATTCTGGGTTTATATTATTAGTACTGAGAGTTCTTGGGTCAGTGATATTTGTGTGTATGTGTACATTTCAAGACATCTTGTGTGCAGTGGTTAAAACTTTTGAGAGACTTAGAATAGCTCCTGCAGTCAGAACTTTAAAAAATCCTATAGAGACAGGACTTAACTATGTCAGTGGAAGGTATTTTTTTCGTGAACTTTTGGAATTATCAGAGAGACTGAATATGACCTGTAGATACTCTGCTTGGAGTGGGTAATATGACAGTCTTTGGTTTGAAAGTACAAGTTTAGTTTTCTTTTGATAAGGGTTTTTTGTTTTTGATTATTTTTGTTTTGTGGCACTGGGGATCTGAGCCCAGAGCCTCTAGCCGGGTAGACAAGTGCTGTACCAGAGTTGCCCCCTCAGCCTGGATAAGAGATTCTTAAAAAGCTAAATGCCGTTTGCCAGCCCAATTCAGCTGCTTTAATACTCTATGTACATACCTTACAATTAAAGATTCGTTTTTGATCATAATGTTCTATAAAGAATATGTTTGCATATGAGTATTTTCTGATTCTTTTTCCTCCATCATGTTCGTGTAATCTGCAGCTCCCTTACATAGGCTGTATTTTAAAAAGAAAATTGAGACAGGTTTGCTGATTTCCCCAAGGTTTATTCAGTGAGTTAAAAGGTGAAGAGGAAAGATGGCCTAGAAAATTAAGATTCATGGTTGGAAGGTGTTATGACTGCCAGTTTACAGTGGCATTAGGAGAGTAATGTTTTAAAACTTTGTGTTTATAAACTGGACACATGATACCTCTTGTCTCCTTAAGGGAAACCATCCAGTTCGTGAAGACAGTTCTTAACAAAGATTTTAGTTTGAGGAGACAGATGAAAATTTATATAATATACAAATGTAAAAATAGTTATAGTGATTGTGATGATTGGTTGATTAGGATGAATGGTATTTGTGAAGACTTACAGAGGTGATAATCTAGTATTATCACTACCATTGTTACATGTTAAGGTACTAGAGGATATACTGTACTGCTTTTATCCACTCCCCCTTAGAACTTCAGTATCGTTTGTGGGTACTCCTTTAGCTGTTAATATTTATGTTGTCAGAGGACTTTGCATAAAAGATTAAATGAGCATATTTATTATAAATCACTTATTTTAAGATGCAAAACATTTTTATAGTCAAGACTTGACATACTTTATAAAAACCTTCATTGGGAACATGTTGTATGAGAAGGAGTCTTGACCCTTGCGTCTGGAGGATCTGTATCTGGCTATGACTAGAACTAGTGCATACTAGTGACTTAACCTCTTTCTGACTTCATTTTCTATTAACGGGGTTGACTAGATAGATGTTCTCTAAGAACTTTCAAAGCTCTAAAATTACAAGTGGCTCAGAGACATTTAATAGAAAGTTAAGGCTTGTCATTTTTTGAGTTTTAAAAAATATTACATCATGTGAGTGAATATATCTTTAAGGTTAGTAATTGAGTCTTTGAAAATGTAAATGTGTGCTTCATTGGAACTTAAGGCTACGCGTAGCTGTTAAGGAAGTCTGGGACCTATCTTATTTAATAATTTCAGGTCAGTTCTAATAGATGTAGATACAGCTTCATGTAGGAAAAACAAATGCTCAACATTGTTACCTTGCTAATACTTTCATGTAAGATGTGTATATAGTCTGGATTTTGTGGAAGATTTTGTTTATAATCTGCCTTTTCACTCCCAAGTATGCATTCCTTGACTTTGTAATTTTTCTTACTTTGAGAAGAGGTCACCAGAACTTTTGCTGTACAATGTAGTTATTAAGGGAAGTTATTAAGTCCATTCTGGAATGGAACCAAGACATTCTCATGAACCCTTATCCCAAAGCCTTGTATTTTGTCAGAGTTCATTGTGAAATTTGAAATTGAAATATTTTATCTCAGTGTAAATTGGAATAGCTAATAGACTTTGAGCATTTGTTATCTAAAGTGCTAATAAATGTTTCAAATACCAGATTTTCAGGTTTGGGATACTCAGCCTATATTAACCTTGAAAAGATCATCAAATTGGAAAAAAAAAAATATTGAGCAGAATGTGAAAAGATTGGAAGCATGTGTTGAAATAAAGGTAGAAGAAGGGAATTTTTGTCATTTAAAATTTTATTTGTACTCTGGGAGTGTAATTAGTGGTAGAACATGCAGGAAACCTCTGGTTCTGTCCCTATTACTGGAAAACATTGTTTTCCAAACTATTGAAAAAATTATTTTCAGAATTTATTGCAGCATTAATACTAAAATTTACATAAGAAGGAATTTAACCAGTCGGGGTGGGCACACGTGTAATTGCAGCCCGGAGGAGGCTGAAGCAGGAGGATTGTCATGAGTTCAAGGCCAGCCTGCACCTACATAGTGGACGTTGTCTCCTAAATAAATAAATAAGTAAATAAATAAACGCATACCAGAGTAATACTAGTGTGTAAAATGTCAATAGTGTTAATTCAGCATAAAATGATTTCCTTTAGTAACAAATTTGGTTGATACAATTGGCAGGGAACAAAGTATTCTGGACATTATTTAAAACAATTTGCATAATTTATAACTTAAATGTTTAAAAAGATGCAAAGAAGTACTTAGGAAAACCTTTCTCAGGGGCTGGGGATTTAGCTCAGTGGCACAGCGCCTGCCTGGCAAGCGCAAGGTCGTGAGTTCGATTCCTGGTACCGGAAGAAAAACAAAAAAACAAAGCAAAAAAAAGACAACCTTTCTCAGTAATCCTCTCCATTTAAGTGGACATACATTGTTTTACCTACAGAAATAGAGCCATAGTTTTTCATCTGTATACTAAGGTTTATGCTTAGGAGCTAAAACAGAAACACAGCCTAGAATTTAGTTGTTATTAATGTTTGATGACAAGTTATAGCTGTGTTTCTCAATTACAGACCAAACTAATCTGGTCACTCTGGGAGTCCCACGCATATCAGATCTGGGAAGACAAACTGTTTTCATAATGTATTGATATTATTTGTCTTTCACAAGTGTACAATGAAGTTTTCTACAGGCTGTTGTGATATTCAGACAGATCCATTGAAGAAGGAGATGGATAAATCCATCTGCTTTCTATTAAATCCAGTGCTTTTAAAAAGATTTGCAGGACTTGGGGATGTTGCTTAGGGGTAGGGTGCCTGCTTAGCATGTGCAAGGCCCTGGCTTTGATCCTTAGCACTGCATTACCCACCCCCTGCCCGCTCAATTGCAAAAATGTTAAAAAAGAAAAGAAGAGCTACTCACTCAGATTTTTTTGTT